GCCAACGATGGAGTTATTGTGTTCTAGCAGACTATGGCTTGGGGACAAGTACAGAAATGCCATCAGATAATAGTGTCATTTGGAGACATACATTCCATCATGGTGAAATTGGAAACTATGTTAAGCTTTTAGCCAGCAGATTTTGTAATGTGTTTCAGTGTGTGGTCCTGCTTCTCTGTCCATTTTACTCACTGAGAGGTATGCCCTGAACTGCCTCTAGCTCAAGTCGTACCTTCCCAAGCACCTAGCTCTTTCTTCGACAGTGGGTGAGTCATGTACCATTCTGTGCCTCGGTTTACTCAGTACTTGTCCGTTGCCCTGTGAACTCTTTGAGGGACTGTTGTAATCACTGTCATAATCATTGTTACACCCCAGCCCCTTGCTCCATGCCTGTTCCATAAAAAGTGCCCAATAAATGTCTGAAACATCAGTGAGTGAGTGATTGCAAAATGGGACAGATAAATCCTGGCTTATCTATCTCACAGGATTCTGTGGACATCATTTGAATTAATAGTTTAAACTTCTGGCTTTCAAAGAAAGGTTTGAAGAAACCCACAGTTAAGACCATGTATAAAAAGATTTAAAATAAGGATCTAAAATTAAAATATTAAAAAATCACACCAAGTGTTTAGGACTCACATACTCCTGGGTTCCTGCATCGCCCCTTCCCACCCTGCCATGTGATTTATTTTAGATGTTAGGGAAGACAGCAATCAGATTGGCTGCCCTCAAGGATGTCCTATACAGAAGTTGATTTGAAATTAGCTTCCGGGGCACTGTTTATCATCACTGGACTAGTTGGTGGTTTGTTTGGGCAAGATAGGGAATACAAGAAGAAACACAGGTAGAGGGGTGAAAGCTAACTTTTGGACATGCTCAGGGAAGATGAGGGTTTAGTCAGGGAGCTGTGTATATATATAGAGGTCAGGTGCATGGAAAGGCCTGAGCTCTGTACAGTAGATGAGGACAATGGGAGCTGGTATGTGACGGTTTAAACCCTGACAGTAGATAAGGTCATGCAGTGTGGAAGTAGCTGACGAGAAGCCCAAGAACAGCTTCATTTAACATCAGTACAGAAGAGCCTTTCTTGAGAAGAAATAACAAAAGGATAGAAAATCCAGAGGAGGAAGTAGCCACAAAACAAAGGAAGAATTGCCAGAGGTAACCAGCAGTTCTTGCCTTGTGAAATGTGATAAACGTTCCACTTTTCACACCGTCCAGAGGATAACATGAAATCCCGTCAGCAAAAAATCCTTTGTAAATTGTACTGTGCTACATAAATGAAGTACCTCCATCACTTTAAAAAAACAAACAAGAATATTCAGCTCCAACAGGCTTGTGGGTTTCCATATGCTGAGAGCTGCTCTGCCCTTCTGGCCTGGGCATCAGCTTCTGGTGTCACAAGAGGTATCCAGGGAAGTTAACAAAATGCTTTGGCCCAAACCAACTTATCACCATGGGCATTTGATTAAAATGATCAGCTTTTTAAAAGAAAAAAGTGCCAATATCCACAGGTTGTTTAGACTTTGGGTGCTCTGTAGTTTCAGATTTGGGGGCTCCATAAGTGTTTTCCTCTGAGGTGTTTCCCTCACCCTTGAATTTAGGACATTTTCTCTACTTTTTTTGTTTCTGAGCATTTCTAAATTCAGTTTTCCCACCGTAAATTCATTTAACTTAAATATCCAAAAATATGCTGCCTTTGGTTTGCTTACTTCCCATTTTGAGCACCCACACTCTGCTCCTGAGTACATCCTATATCTACCTCTCATAAATCCTTCTAAACAGGCGTGGTGGCGCATGCCTGTAATGCCAGTACTCGGGAGGCTGAGGCAGGAGGATCCTAGTGAGTTCGGGAACAGCCTGGGCTACAAAGTGAGCTCAAGGGCAGCCTCAACTGCAAAGCGAGACCTTGTCTCAAAAAGACAAAAAATAAATAAATAAATCTTTCTCATTCTTCTATAGGTGGATAAATAAAAAAAAATAAATGTACAAATAAATAAATTCCTATCACAGCGTTAAATCCATAACCCCCAAAGTTGGCGAATTTAGCAAACAGAGCATTCAGCAAATTGTGTCTGAGCACAGTTCTGTTTCACAGGGATGAGTTTCTGCCAATTATTCATTGGCTGTATTTTCTCCAGCTAGGCCTCACCTACTTGCTTACCTCTTTTTCCCACAACAGTTAGTTTGCTCAACTGTGAATACAGAAAAAATGGCTAGGCGTGTAGCTCGGTGACAAAACCCTGGCTTAATGTGGGGGAGACCCTCTGAACTCTTAAAAAAAAGTATGCAATAGTAAGAACAATAATTAACATTTTTTCCCTTTGTGCTTCCTCTAAACCAACTGCTTTTCAAGCAACAACAACAAAAAAAGCCCAGTGTCCCCCAGTCCTAAGCCCTACACAATACCTCCTTGCTCTCTCAGTCAGTGTCTTGCTGCTGAAACGCAATACAGACCCCTAAAACTCTAAAGAAGAGAGGTTTATTTCACAGTTGTTTTTTCTAGCCAAGAGAAAATGCTCCTGATTCTCTGGACACACAGTGGTTTATTCATATCTTTTTTTAAGTTGCTCCCAGCTACCATCCTGGGGAAGGCAAGCGCTGCTGTATCACTGCAAGTGCCTGTCACTAGATTTAATGGGTCCACCTCTTGGTGAGAATGGAATCAAAACAGAACACCAGCAATAGTTACCACAGTGTAGTTTATTTGCAGCAAATAAGGGGTCCACGGTAATCACTACCAAAGTCCTGACTCAACAGAACTAGTGCAAACTACAGTTTCCTTGGGCAGAAAATAAACAGTCAGGAGAGGGAAGGGCATTTTTTTTGTTTTGGTTTGGTTTTTGTCTTTTGGAGACAGGGTCTTGCTATGCAGTTCAGGCTGGCCTTGAGCTCACTTTGTAGCCCAGGCTGGTCTCAAACTTGCAATAATCCTCCTGCCTCAGCCTCCCGAGTGCTGGGATTACAGGTGTGCACCACCACGCCCAGCAGGGCATTGTTACCTGTGTGTCGGCACAGTCTGACAGTGTGCTCTTTCATACTTCCTGTGTTATGGAAATGCGGCACTAGCGCTTCCCTCCATGGAGATTTTGGTATTATAATGCACTAAATGTCACCTCTCAGACACTGCCTCATGCGCCCTGGGTAGTTTGTGAAACACCATTTCTGAAAAACCACTTAAATTTTAAAAATTTAAAAATCAATCATATACCAGGCATGGTGGCACACACCTGTAACTCCAGCACTCGGGAGGCTGAGGCAAGAGGATTGCTGTGTATTCGAGGCCAACCTGGGCTACAAAGTGAGCTCAAGAGCAGCCTGAACTGCAGAGCAAGACCCTGTCTCAAAAAGACAAAAAAGAAATTAATTTTGGTATATTTATATATGAATATAACATACTCTGATCATTCTGTCAAGTACCCTCTCCCTTAAATCCCTCCCCATCTTTTCTTTTCATAGTCTCCCCTCTATTTTAATGTTACTTCTTTTCTCCCCTAAATCACACATATGAGAGAAACCATGCGTTATTTGACTGATTCTGGCTTATTTTACTCAGCATGATGGTGTCTATCTATTCATTTTGCTACAAATGACAGGATTTCACTCTTCTTAATGACTGCAAAACACTCCGTATGTATGGATAGCATTTTTTTTAGCCGTTCATCTGCTGATGGACATCTAGGCTGTTCCCATAGCTTAGCTATTGTAAACTGTGCTGCAATAAATTGGGAATTCGTGAAATCTCTATTGTATGCTGACTTTAATTCTTCCAGGACAAAACAGTCTTTCTCTGAGGAAATGCAGTCAAACCACTTGGGCTGGTTAGGCCTCCCACTGCACGCTGATAACTTAGCACTAGGCCTGGCACATCCACTAAAGGCTCAGTAACATTCATAATGATTAAAACTTAGTACCACAGGCCAGACACTGTGAGAGCTTTCTTTATACGTTAATGTACTTTATCTAATCCACCCCAAAAGCTCTGCGGCAGGAGTTGCTGTAACTCCATTTTACACATAGGGAAACTATCTCCCAGCTGGGCACAGAAATATCAACAGCTGAGTAAGGACTTAAACCAAGGCAGTGAGCTCCCCAGTCCCTGCACCGTGCATTCGCATCCACCGGTGAAGACGAAAAGCACGATTTTTCACCAAGCACAGCAAGAGCACAAGTTCAAACCCTAGACTCACGGAGAAAAAGGCAGATGGATCACCATGAGTTCGAGGCCAGCTTGGGCTACCTAGTGAGCTCACTGCCAGCCTGAGCTACAGAGCAAGACCCTGTCTTTAAAAAAAAAAAAAAAAAA